GACCCTAAGAACTGAATATAACTCTGACTAGATAGAATAGCAAAGAGCTGGGTAAATATTACGTACCCCTGCCCCCAATACTTCAAAAAGTATTCATAAACATTTAAATAAATGAAAATGATGAACTCCCTCTGCATGTTTTTGAATTGCCACTTTTTCCATAAAGAATCATGCAAATGAAATTTTGTCTGCAAAAATTTGCAGAAAGAGAAGGGTACCTATAGTGGATTAAGTGGGACTTATAGGCTTTAGGTCTGAGTGTGCACCATTGAAATCATTGGACGTTTTGCCTATAATGTGCCTAAAATACAGATTACTCAGCTGTTTCTCCGTTTCCTATAGATAACCTGTACATCTGCTGTTTATGGGGCTATCAGAGGTCTTGGCCTGAGGCACACACTTTAGTTACCTGCACCCTGAAATGTTCTGGTCTAACTAAAGTATTTAGGTTTAATATAGGAGTACTTTGGTAAATGTAATGATTATGATATACAGATCAGACTAGATGATCTCATGGTCCCTTCTGAGTTCAAGCTCTATGAAATATAAAACTCTATTTAAACAAAACAAAAATCTGAAGCAAACTTACCATAACAAATGTGAACTGTTAGTGATTTACAGGACTTTAAGTGGTGTGTTAGCATTGTTCTGGCACTCTGTGCAAAGGTGAATTTCACTCAGGGAAACTCAGGATGTTACTAAAGTTTGTAACATTAATTTTTCCCCCTCTGAATTACTTTATTTGACTTTGCATAAAACACACACAATGTAAACATTTATTATTACTTTATAAAGAATTAAAAATATATTTTAAAAAACTGTAATGAAAATTTTTCAACACAGTTTTTATTAGCTGCACTTCTTAGCTGTGCAATTGTAAAATATATTTTGCTACCTTTGCTCAAGCATAAGGTTCAAAAGGTGGAAAATGCAGCATTACATTCATTCCTTGTTTTACCATAGCTGGCTCTGTAGAGTGGTCTGCAGCCACTGAAGAGAAACACACAAGAAACTTTATTTAAAAGTACAGAAAATATTAATTTGACTTTAGAAAAATGCAGCTATGGAGAATTTTAAAGCAGGAACAGAAACAGCCACATGCTGTCCTTAATCTGCACAATCTTATGGTGAGATGGTAGAAGGAAGAAATGCTGTAACTGCTGATACTGAACATGCCCATATGTCTTTCCTCCTTCATTTTACAGAAGACATTTGAACAGTATTGCCTCCACAAGCATTCAAAAAAGTTCAGGCCTTCCAAAAAAAATCATTATTGGTTGAAAAGAATAAAAATTTAAATAAATGTTTGGTTCTTTTTATTTGCTCTCTAATTTTTGAATCTTTAGGTTACACTATGCCCAAATTTTCAAGCAACCATAGGGCTAGAAGATTTGTTTTGTTTTACGTGAAAGTTGAGATTCTCACATAATCATTTGACTCAAACAGTTTAGACTGTAAGAAAAGCCTCAAATATTATGAGACTCATGAAAAAATTGCCAGAGTTGTCAGCTTAAGGGCTTAAATCTTCTCCCATTATTTATATTATTTTAATCCTATCATCTTTTTATTTACCTCCTTCATTTTCTGTTTTTTTCCCCCCTGTACATAACCCTCCAGAATTCCCGCCCCATTCATGTTCTCCTTCTCCCAAACTCACATTAAAAAAAATAGTTAAGGACATGCACTCTTTAGTCCTCATGCTCCATTGAGAAGGCACATAAGGGCGAGATGCGCCTGCCATTATTCAGTTCCTCTCACCACTTCCCAGTTTAGGGACAGAGCCTCACTGTCCAAAAGACTGTTAGCCTTTCATCTGTACTTCATAGCTAATTGATTTTTTTTACAGTTCAATTTAGTTTATCATTTTAGTAATTTATTCATCCGGTTGCCTGTTGCAACCTTTAGTTGTTAGCATTTTTACTTGTCGCTGGGAATGGTGTCATCCAGTTCTCCTGAGTTCAAATGCTGCCACTCCTGCAAGGGAACTATTCCAGCTTCATGCGGACACTCAAAATGTCTCTATTGCTCCAGGAGAATTGCACATTCCCAGTAAATGTGCCATTTGTAATTCCTTCAGCTCCTGGGCTAGGAAAGACAGGGAGGCCCACCTTCAGGTCTTCCTAATGACTAAATCCATGAGACCCATTTCTGAACTGGGCACATTGGACCTTCACAATCCAAGAACATGAGCACAGGCTCATTGCCTTCAAGGGCCCCGGATCAAACAATGCTGAGAACATCGTCCTCAGACAGACCACAAGCATCTAGAAGTTCCAAAGGTAGATCACCTACCAGGGCTTTCTCTAAAAGGAAAACCACCCCACAGTAGTGAACATCATGTGAGACTTCACAGCCCAGCCCAGTTCCCACCAAATCTCGGTCTCAGGCTAATTCTGACTGTATGGCACCAAAACGCCTGGCACTGAAATCTGGGACTTCGGGAAATGGTTTGGCATTGACCCCAGCACCGTCTGTCTCAGTGGCCCTGACACTGACTCTCTCAGCACCTGAATCAGGTTGATTGGGGTAGTGCACCATCATCATGACAAAGACTGTGATACTACCCTGAGAAAACTTGGTTTCAGCTCACCTATACAACCCCACACAGCATTCTTCAGGTGATCTGTACTGATGGACCTGCACAGATGGCACATCTGGAGCCACAGTCCCCTTTTCTGTCAACTTTAGCACTACAGTCAGCTCTGACTTTATCCACTAGGATGGCTTCATCAGCCCAAAGGCCAAAGCACCACCCGGATCTGGGTTATACATTCTCTTCAGCTTTATCTTCAGACTCAGAGGGTGAGAAAGATTGATACTAGCAGCATCTTCACTCACCCAGATTCTCACCACAGCCCTCAACATCTTATAGAGAGTCCAGAAATTTCTCACAAGAGAGATACTGGGACCCACAGAACCTGCGTTCATGATTCCCTACACCCTGGCCACCAGGCTCTTACCCACCAATTCCCATGTTGCCCTGTTGGGGACTCTAGTTGGCTCAGAGCAATCTTGGTGTGAGTGAGCAACTGTATCGCCAGAAGACTATCTGCTCCATGGCACTGCACACAAAGAAATCCTAACAGTGCCCCTCCCCCCATATCCTCCCCTGGGTTCCAGTATAGCCACAAGCAAAAGAGGAAGGAATGTAAGACCAGGCACCAGGAGAAGACCTTCCGGCATTGGTAATCCTTTCCTCTTTGTCCCAGATGAGGCTGCTGTAGTGCCACCATTGGTCTCAGAAATGTCTGAGTACAAGGCTATCTAAAACCTATTAAAAAGGATGGCCTAGGACCTCCAAATCCCTGTTGAGGAAGTAAAGCAGTAGACATGTAAGTTGGTGGATATACGTCAGTGTTCCTCTGCAGGAAAGCTAGCCCTCCCTGTCAGTGAGCACCATGCCAGAACCCTGTGGCGGATGCCTGCTTTGGCACTGCCTATATCTCGCAATGCAAGTGCCTCCCCTATAGGTGCGGAATTATTTTACATGCACCCCTTCCTGCCGTGTGGTCACAGTGGTGCAAGAAAAGACAATTCTGGTTCACAGGTCTATTGAACCTGTCAGTATCCCATCCCAGGACTTACCTCTGCTCCCAGACCTGCTGTCTCAGAACCAGAACCAATCCTACATCCAAATCTACTGTCCCTGCACCTCATAGCATGGTGACTGGATGGATGTCATCAATGCAGCAGTCTTGCTTTTCTGATAAGTAGAAGACAAAAACTCACCTGGCAAAATGGATGAGATTCTCCCACTAGTGTCACCACAACTCATTGATTCCACATTACTCCTCGATCCTGCAGATTCTTCACTAGTTACTTGAGCTAAAAAGAAAGAATTTGTCCCTCAGCTCTGTCAAGGTTCACTTGGCAACCATCTCAGTTTACGACCCACTGGCAGAGAATCACACAGTCTTCTCATTTGATAGTGATTAGGTTTCCAAAAGACCTAATTCAAGTGTTCCTGCCTGTCAGGGAACCAGTTCCCCCATGGGATTTAAACCTAGTAGTCGCAGGTAGTAATAGCTGGCAGGGTAGCAATAGGTGGGAACATTTGCTACACCTTTTCTAAAGATGTAGGAAGAGCTGCTGCTCACTACTCTCTCAATGTCCTCTGGATGCATAATGCACTGCTTCCACTTTTCCAGTGCAGATCTGCATCTAGGTATGCCAAGAACATTGGCCTCTGATTGGGGCCTCTAGACATTACCGCAAAGTAAATAATAATTGTCAGTTTTGGGATAACTGCACCTGTGGCCCCCTCCTCTGTGGAATGCTTAAGGAATGCCTTTTCAGGTCAGAGGCCTCTACCTGTCACCTCTCTTTGGGCTGGGACCTGCATCCCTGACCCTTCTCATCAGGAGTTAGGCTGTAGCTCCCCGGCAATTTGTTGAGTTTATCCTGGCAGGTGTGACTAATATCCAGCACCTGTGCTTTGCCTTCTCTCCAAGGGTTCTGATCAATATATGTCAGTGGTTATCAGTAACCAACCAAACAACAAGGAGTCCGGTGGCACCTTAAATACTAACATTTATTTGGGCATAAGCTTTCATGGGTAAAAAACCTCACTTCGCATCTAAAGAAGTGAGGTTTTTTACCTACGAAAGCTTATGCCCAAATAAATCTGTTAGTCTTTAAGGTGCCACCAGACTCCTTGTTGTGTTTGTGGATACAGACTAACATGGCTATCCCCGATACTAGTAACAAAACAGCTCTCTCAAAGAAGAGTATATATATTGAAGGACAGAAGCCTTACAGAGAAAATATATAACATAATAACAGGTCTAAATGCATCCTAAACATATCAGCAGTTGCCCATCTTCAATATGGATGCATCTGAATTCCACTTTTCCAGCCCATCTCTAATTAAGACTGATTAATCGTGAGTTTGTTGTTTGAATACACTTCTAATGGATGACACATGTTCAAAACAGATATTGCTTATAATGTTATTTTTTAAAATCTGATCCTGTGTTTTTTCCTTTCCCTTCCCTTCCCAGTGCTGTGCGGAGGAGATGAGAGCTTCTTATGTGCCAGTGGAATCTGCATCCCCGGGAAACTACAATGTAATGGTTACAATGACTGTGATGACTGGAGCGATGAGGCACATTGCAGTATGTTACTTTAAACCCTTATAGTGTTTGTCTAGACAGAATACTGAGTCCATTCAGGGGAGCCTAGAAACAAAAGTCAACTACTGTAACAGGATAAGAGCTTTGCGTAGCTTGTGCATATACTCACTTCTGGCCTCTCTTTCAGGTGCCTAAGAATATGTTTGCCTTTGCCCAACCTGACTACAGAATGTCTTTGTAGACCTTTTAAAGTTTATGTTTAGAAGCTTGATTTTATTGGCAGTTGAACAGCTAAGATTTCTCCAAGGACCTATGGCGGTTGGAAGTATTATAGCAGAGGGCTGTTGTTTTTTTAATTGATAAGTAACTTGCCATAAAGACCATTTTTGTAAAGAAATAACCAGGTTACGAGTTTTGAGTGTATACTGTTCTAGTACTTGGTTTTGATTCTACAGCAGATGCAAAATCATCTGCTTAGAAAGTTGTTTCTTCTCCAGCCCTGAATGTGGCTTTTATAAACAAATTTTACTATGAGGTGCCATGGAAAATGAGAATATATATGCCCATTAGGTTTCTTCATTTGTCATTTCCATTCTCCATTGTAGAATATATTTCAAAGCTCAAACACATCTGTTTTCTAAAACTAACCCCTATGTTCAGAGACTCTGAAAAAATGAACAGTAGACAAAACAGGAAGAAAGAGGGACAGTTTTGGGGATAAGTAAATGGTGGGTGTATAGGGAAAATTATCAGAGAGTCAAATCAAAACTCTGGATCCAAATACTCCCAAACTTTGGATTAGATCTGGATTAGGATCTGAACTATGTAGCTTGGGCTCACTTTTGAAAGTCCCTTGTCTCTTATGGATTCCCAGAGGGAAACTATGTGTAACATACATAAAAGTGCCTAAGTGAGTTAGGATTCTGAGTCACATTGGAAGTCCATAAATTAATGGGACTTAAATTCACAAATAATTTAGCTGCTTTGGGAAATTTTTACACATAGTTTTTATCTGGGAATCTATTAGAAGCAAGTGATGGCTGCTATCTCCTATGGGTCTCAATAGAAGTGAGACTATAGGTTGCCACACCTGTCATGTTTTTACCCTCAGTGTTGACTCCAGTTTAATTTAGAATAACATTTTCAAAAGTGCCTACATGATTTAGGAGCCTATATTCTATTGAAAGTCAATTGAAAGGTTGAGGGCATAGAAGTAATTTAACAGTTAAGCACTACAGGGATGTTGTAATTATTAAAAAACAAGCATTACAAACTCAGAAAATTCAGAATTAAGATTCAAGTGAAAAGAAATCCAAACATGTGAAGGAATGGAAATACACAGTTAAGGCAACCTTAACATTAACTTGCATAATGCTGTGCAATCAACATACAAATATGATTAGTGCATCAGTATTTCTAATGCTAGATTAAAATAAATTGATTTTTAAAGACACAGATTTTTTCTATTTTCTCCCTTCGTAGTGGCACACAAGGGAGAGTTAAGGTTATTTGGTTGCCTTAACTGTGCATTGTCCCCTATTCTGACATTGAGTACACCTTCCCTGAGGGCAGCTTCGCTTTTACTCTTATTGGAATAAGTAGCTAAGGGCAGGCTGGGGGCTTGCTCTCATGGACAGCAATAACAGAGCGGCAGCCAGTTTGAAATGGAAGAACATTATATGTCAGCCCCTGCTGAATAAGAAACTTTCAATTATGAAGAATAACAGCAAAAAGTACTATTAATTCTAAAACAAATCTTCAAATATAGTTAATGTGTGGGATTTGAATGAGTTTTAGCTATGTGGGTAGGTTGAAGAGTCTGCATTGTTCTGATGCTGAGAGGCAAAAGCATGATCAGACACAGGGTGCTGTGGGATAGAAAGAGGTTGGGCACCAGGTAATTTTTAAAATAAAATTACCTAAAGAAAGACAAACAATTATCAAACTTGATAATTGGGAGAACCAACAGTTAATTACATGGAATAACTAATTAATTGCTTCTCATATGATGAATGCAGGATAATCAAAAGATGGAATTATTGATTATGATTATTAATGAGACTGCACTCAAGGAGTAACCACTTACATTTTACAAAGAATTGTTTTCCCTATACACTAAAGGATGTCACCAAATAAATAATTGAATGTGACTTTGAAATAAAGAAACATTTATTTAAATATCCAAAATGAAAAAAGAAACCAATAAACAATTAAATCAACAGGGATAATGCAAATGGGATACACCAGATAAAAATGGGTAAATAAAAGACGTGATTCAATGTAGCAATATTTAAAGCAATATGAAATTCTAACATATGAAGTACATTAAAACAAATAGCCATTGATAGACTTATCCTCTGTGAACTTATCTAGTTCTTTTTTGAACTCAGTTACACTTTTGGCCAGCACAACATCCCATGACAATGAGTTCCACAGGTTAATTGTGTGTGTGCACTGTGGATTTATATAGTAGCATTATGATATTTTCAGTCTTATTTTCTATCCATTTCCTAATAGTTTCTAACATTCTGTTAGCCTTTTTGACCACTGCTGTGCATTGAGCTGCTGCTAAAGTGTTCTTGAAACATAATAAAGTGTTTCAATCCCTGCTTTAAGTGTAAGACAGTAACTGGAACCAAGGCCAATGCTTTCATAATAATGAAATGTGCTAGTTACCCCAAATATTTTGATGTGTTGTTGATCAGTTGAATTATTACATGATTGATGATCTGTCTAAGAAGATAACTGAGAGGAAAAGAAAATGTGCTTTTCTCTAACTTTCTGTGCTTTAAACTAGTTTGCATAAACTAACTTAGTACTGATGTTGATATGTGGCATTCCTGTATCTAGCAGAATCCAGAACAACACCTGGGAAACTTTTTACACTGGTGTAATTTAACAGTCTCCAAACTTTATTTGATCTTGAATAAGTTTGATCTGGAATGAAGTTTGTTTTAATGCTACAACTGTAAACCTTTGGAGAGAAAAAAGGGGATTTATGGAACAGCAGATGCAGACTTAACTACAGAATCTGTGATAAGGTTCTGGCTATGTTAAGTAATTTAACCAGTTGTTAAACTTCTGGCTCAACTCTGATCTCATTTACACTGGTGTAACTTCACTTCTATGGTACTGTTGTATGAAGATCAGTAGGTGGAAGCAAAGGCTTCTAGTAATGTAGATGGAGAAACAAATTTGGATCCTGATCCTTCAAATTAAGCACTTGCATAACTTTGCTGACAAGAGTAATCCTGTTGAAGACAATGAGATCATTCATGTGAGCAAAGTTACCAACACGCTTAATGGTTTGCAGTATCAGTGTCTTGGTAGTCTTTTCTAAACCTGTTCATTTATTCCTGGCCCAGGGGAGGAGTGTTTGTCCAGAGTGTTTTCTCTGGAGTGAACAGAATGAGGCTGTGGTGACAATGATGAATAACTTGCTGTGGAAGTAGCTTTCTCTTGGTTGTACACCGTGTCGATGTATAGTAGTTCAGTTAAATTGATTTGATGTACTGTAATTAAATCAGTCCTCAGTGTGTCTAGACAGTGACACTACATAACTTCATAAAACTAAAAAAAGATTTTTTTCTTTGAAATGATGTAAAAGGCTGTCTGTAAACTAATTAACCAACAAACTCTATCCGGTTTCAGATCAGTAGACTTTAAAATGTAGTTAATTGTATCTTTTAAGGGGCACTGGACTGATTTAGGGTACATCTATATTTGAGCTGGGATGTGTGGTTCCCAGCTCGGATAGACATACCCATGCTAGCTTTGTTTGAGCTAGCGCCTAAAAATAACAATGCTTCTACGGTGGCATGGGTGGCTGCTCAGGCTAGCTGCCCCAAATACAATCCTGCCTGGGACACTCCTGCCCGCTGAGGACATGCTCGGTGTGCCTCTGTGGACACACTGCTATTTGCAGGTGCTATCCCAAACACAGCAGCATGGGTACGTCTACACAAGCTGGGAATCGCACCTGCTAGTGCAAATGTAGATTTAACCTTAGGTTCAAAGGGCCAAACTCTGCTGTTGTAAACTGGCACAGCTGTAGTGAAGTAAAAATATGGGATTATGTAAAGACAGAATGGTTATTAAATTGAAGATGAAAAGAAATACTTTCAGGAATATGTTTTGTGATTTAAATGAAAACATTTTTGTTAGTTTGTTTTAGATTTAAGCATAAGAGCATTATGATTTCTCCAGCATGTGAGAGCTGGGGAGGTCAAATTGTTGACAAACAAGTACAGCAAAATACTTATTTTTAAACAATTATGTAGTCACTTCATCTAGTTTTTTTTTTAAATGTTCAAAACAATCATTATTTTCTCCTAATGTTTTGTTAAATTAAATAATAATTCCAAATGGCTGAAGAAATAGGGAGCTACTCATCTTGCTTGTCTGCTAACTTGTGGCTACACCTGGATTTGCTCAGGTGGACTCCTGCAACTGCATACAGCACCATTGTTCTGCATGGGTGTAAGTGTCTGCTCAGGTGGACCGAGTTGCAGGATCTGGCCTCCTAGGGAGACAAATTCTGCTTTCCTTCCTTGCATGAAAAGTGTCATTGACTTCAAGAGGACTACTCATGTGAAGAAAGTGAGTGGGATTTAGTCCATAGTCTGTAACGAAGAAAGGGCTTCTCAGCATTTGAATGCATGGGGAAGGCTAGTGATTTTCACAGTCAAGATCTATTATTTATTATAGAACTCTTCATTAGTTCAAAGAATGTTTACAGATTTTCCATGCAAACTTTTCTAGTATGTAATAAAAGTTACCTTAAAACAACTAGGGAGTTCTTCAGCCTCTCCTGAATTAATCTACTGGTTAATACTTCCATTATTGTGGATTATGTCAGAACACAGAATGTCTTTCTGGGAAATACATTAGCAGTAAAATGGCAGTTCTCATTGAGATGTCTTTTGTTATTTGTATTGCAGTAACATCCAAAGGCCCCAATCAAGATACTTTTATTTTTTACAATAATTTATAATGCAAATGCAGGCTCATGAAATAGAGGTTAAAAAAAGAATTACTGATAC